AAAGAGAACTACATAAATAGAAAAACATACCATGCTGATGAATAGATAGACTCAACATTGTGAAAATGTCAATTCTACCCAAAGCAATCTACAAATACAATGCAATTCCAATCCAAATACCAACAACATTCTTTAAAGAGATGGAAAAACTAATCATTAAATTTATATGGAAAGGGAAGAGGCCCCAGATAAGTAAAGCACTGTTGAAGAAGAATAAAGTAGGAGGACTCGCACTACCTGACCTCAGAACCTATTATACAGCTACGGTAGTCAAAACAGCCTGGTACTGGTACAACAACACACACTGATCAATGGAACAGAATTGAGAACCCAGAATTAAATCCATCCACCTATGGTCACCTGATCATTGACAAGAGCCCAAAGTCTATCAAATGAGGAACAGTCTTTTTAACAAATGGTGCTGACAAAACTGGATGTCTATCTGCAAAAAAATGAAACAGGACCCATACCTCAAAAACAGATGCAAAATGGATCAAAGACCTAAATATAAAGCCCAAAACTATAAAGTTCATAGAATAAAAAATAGGATCAACTCTAGAGACCCTAATACATGGCATTAACAGAATACAAACCATAACCAACAACACACAAACTCCAGAAGATGAGCTAGATAACTGGAATCTTCTAAAAATTAAACACTTATGCTCATCAAAAGACTTGACCAAAAGAGTAAAAAGTGAACCTACAGACTGGAAAAAAATTTTTGGAGATTACAAGTCAGACAAAGGTCTAAACTCTAAAGTCTACAAGAAAATCCAACACCTCTACAACAAAAAGACAAATAATCTAAAAAACAGGGAAAGGAAATGAACAGACACTTCACCAAAGAAGACATTCAACTGACCAACACTTGAGGACACATGAGGAAATGCTCTCGATCACTAGCCATTAGAGAAATGCAAATTAAAACCACAATGAGACACCATCTCACCCCGGCATTACTGGCATGAATCAAAAACACTGGAAATAACAAATTTTGGAGAGGCTGCAGGGAGATCGGAACTCTTATGCACTGCTGGTGGTAATGCAAAATGATACAACCATTTTGGTAAATGATATGGCTCTTCCTTAGATAGCTAGAAACAGAAATACCATATGATCCAGCAATCCCACTCCTAGGAATATATCCTAGAGAAATAGGAGTCATCACACGAATAGACATATGCACTCCCATGTTCATTGCAGCATTGTTCACAATAGCAAAAAGATGGAAACAACCTAGATGTCCATCAACAGATGAATGGATAAACAAACTATGGTACATACACACAATGGAGTATTATTCAACAATGAAGAATAATGATGAATCTATGAAGCATCTCATAACATGGATGAAACTGGAGGACGTTATGCTGAGTGAAATAAGTCAATCACAAAAGGACAAATATTGCATGAGACCTCTACTGTAAAAACTCATGACAAAGTTTACACACAAAAAAAAACCGTGTTGGTTACAAGGGATGGGAGAGGTGGGTAGGAGGAAACTAAATAGACAATAGATAAGTAGTAACTTTGGTGAAGGGTAAGACAGTGCACAATACTGGGGTAGCTGGTACAGTTTGTACAGGAAAGGTCATGGAAACTCCGTAGACACATCCAAACACCCTTAGGGACTAAATTACTGGGCTGAGGGCTGTGGTGACCATGGTCTCAGGGTACTTCTAGCTCAATTAGCATAACATAGTTTATAAAGACAATGTTCTACATTCTACATTGGTGCGTAGCATCTGAGGTCCTAAAAGCCTGTGGGTAGCCATCTAAGATACTCCACTGGTCTCAGCCCTTCTGAAGCAAGGGAGAATGAAGAAAACAAGATACAAGGAAAAGATTAGTCCAAAGGACTAATGGACCACAGCTACCAAGGCCTCCACCAGACTGAGTCCAGTACAGCTAGATGGTGCCCAG